TAAGACTGGTGTCCGCAGCACAGGGGTGGATGTGAGTGAGATGAACCAGTTCTTTGCCAGATCTGATGTGTGGTTTTACACACCAACACAACAGACTTAAATCGGCACTTGCTTCAGAGAAGGTGGAGAATGCATGTCCAGAGATTAGCTTTAGTGTTGATGTTCAGCAGCAGCTCAGTCGGTTAAAGCCTAACAAGGCAGCCGGCCCTGATGGTGTCCATCTGCACACCCTTAAAGTCAGGCAGCTGTCTCTCACTACGTTTTCATGGTGTCCTTGTCTGCTGCTAACAAAGAAGTCATGTGGACAGCCTTGTCTTGTGCCTATCCCTCAGAAGTCAGTCTAACCTTCGGCCTATTGCAGTGACATCACATATGACGTGTTCTGAGAGAGCTGTCCTTAAACAGGCCTCTGTTTGTGAAGGTGGGGGAGAAAAGCTCTGGTGCACCACAGGGGACAGTTTTATTTACACTGTACACAACCGACTATAGGCACAGGTACCACCCACAGAAGCTCTCTGATGACACGGCCCGCTGGGCCTGATCTCTCGGGGAGACGACCTGGCTTACAGGGAGGAAGTTCACTCCTTTCTTAGATGTGTGATGCCAATGTTGTACAACTTAATGTTGGCAAAACACAAGAGCTGATTATTGGTTTTAGGAAGAAAAAATCAAACAAAAAGGAATAGTGATGGGAATTCCGGCTCTTTTTAGAGAGCCGGCTCTTTTGGCTCAGCTCACCAAAAAGAGCCGGCTCTTTCGGCTCCCAAGTGGCTCCTCAGGTTTTCTGTTGCGTAGAGTAGATTTATAACCAAAATAATGCTAAACTATATGTAAAATAATTTACTAATGTAAAAAAAAGCAATATGTCAAATATTTATCATTTCTATGGATTTAATAACTGAACACTTTAAGAAATCTCCTCTTCCCTACTGCTGGAGCTGATTTTCTCACCGTCTTCGTCGCACTCTCCTCTCTCTCGCTCGCCTTTTACCTCCTCCTCATTCCCTCTCGTCTCCCTCCGCCCACATGTGCTCTGCTGTGTGTCTGAGTCTGATCCTCCCTCCTCCCCGCCCCTACTGCTCTGTGTGTGGACAGTCTGGACACGCAGTTACACATGCTGACCAATCGCCTGTAGCTTTCACCAAGGCAGGGGGGGAGGGGAGGGGAGGGGACGGCTCCCAATGACGAGCCGGCTCCCGTCGTTCACTTCAAAGAGCCGGCTCTTAGAGCCGGTTCGTTCGCGACCGACACATCACTAAAAAGGACGAACAACTAAGTCCTTCAGGGGAACTTCTGAGTTAAAAATGCTCATGAAACACGAGTGTGGAGAAACCAGGTAGGTAGGCTGTAACTGTTCCAACTGTAAAGCCCTCCTCCAGAGGGTTAACGGCCAACCTCTGGAAAGTGTGGGCACATCTAAACATGTAGGGGTGAACGGTGATGCTGTTAAAAAGGTCCTGTCCAGATAGCTCCTTCTCAGTAAGCTGCGACCCGTTGACACAAGTAGGAGGCTCTGGTATGTGTTCATCAGAGGCTTGTGGCTGGTGTGTTGGGTGGGGGCGGAGCCTCACTGCTGAGGACAACAACAGAATCAGTGCTTGGGAAAGCTTGGACTCATTTACAAAAGGATGATGAGTAGACCTCTCTGGAGGACCTCCACCGTGTTTTAAGGGTCTCTATCAGTGGACGAATGTTAACGCTCCGTTGTTCCTCTCAACGTTTTAGAAGCTCTTCTGTTGCTACTGCAGCGCGTTCTAGCAACCTTATGTGACCTTATACTGGGTGATGTTATCATGGTTGTGGTTTACAGCAGAGTCCAGTGAATGTGATTTAGTGTTTTGTCTGTTTGTTGTTGTTTTTGTGTCCATGGCAACTCCATTTCCCCCTTGGGGGTTAATAACCAACCTAACCTTACTCTGGTTAGACGCTCCCTAAGGAACGACGTTTTTACGGCTTTCATCTGAACTACCCAACTTTCAGAGCTTTTTTTTACCTGGACGCAGGGACAGAGTGAGAACAGGAATCTTTTTTCCATTGCTTTGGTCTGTTTTAGCAGCTTCTTCTCCTTTCTGCTCCTGATCTTTGACCTGCAGTTAGAAAACAAGTCATTACGATGTGTTTCTCTGCTGCACCTCCTCCCAGAGACGTAGACTTAACCTCTTTGTTCTGATCGCCGGCGGCTTCCAGCTCTGGATTCTTGGCTGATGTTGCACAGGAGGTCAAGGGGAGGATAACGACTGAAGGCGAGGATACAGGTGTGTTCATGGGGCTTCTCTGTGTTCCCACCTCGCTGTGCATGGCAACAGGGGCGTCATCATTTAAACTTTGGTTGGATTTGGATTTCCCTCGATCTGAAAGATCCAGAGGCCCATCGCAGCTGTCTTTAGAACCTTCCCTGGAGACCCTGTCAGGCTTTGGAAGTGGAATTTCTTTTTTTTCTGGAGGTTTATTGTCACTTTCTGGGTTCTCTGGTACCCTCCTCAGTTTGAACACAACCGTTGGCTCTTTAGCAGGGGGGTGATGGGGCGTAGGCTTCTGCCACGCAGAGCCAAAGCTGTGCTTCCTGATGCTGGCTGGTGAGATGGGTGGAATCAGGTTGGGAAAACGTGGCAGATGGAGTCTGGAAGTCTGGAAGGCGGGGTTGCTTCCCGCTGCAGCTACACTGACCCAGTCCGAAGATTCAGAAAGGGGCCAGGGGAGGGAGAGGGGGCTGCTCGGGATTGGCTTAGGATGACGGGGGATTGGTGCATGGACCACAGTTCTGCTTGGTTTCACCTCCGGTGAGGAAGAGGGGTTCTTCATGGGAGCTTGGATGGGAATGGACGAATGTTGGTCAAACCCTTCAAGGCTTCAGAAAGACAGAGAAGTCAGCAAAACCACCAAGGAGGGAAGACAAAATGATTTAATTTGTTCTAGAACTCTGAGCTGTTCTCAGTCAGTTGATGCTATTGTCTCCTGTGCCGTGCTCAGAAGCAGAACAGTCCATGATTATTATGGGATGTTTAAATAGATGGTCTCAGAGCTCATCACTGAGCGTTGTCTGTGGTGATGTCTTACCTCCGCTCTCCAGCATGTCTCACACCATGGTCCATCTTCCACGAAGGCATCGCTGCAGCTGGCTGTGGCTTGTACACCTCCTTTATGGGAAATGGTAAAAGTAAGACACTGGATACACTTTTTAACCCATTAAACAAACGAATAAAGTCAACGGTGTCATCAGTAATAATAAAAGGTCCAAATGTGTTTGGCTCTATGGTTTTAACAGCATTAGTACTCTCCTCTGAAACCTGTAGCTTCAGATCCACCTACTTCAGGATGTAGAATTCAGTTGGAGGGGGTTAGGGTTCGGGTACTGATGGGAGGGGGGGGGGGGGGGGTTACCCCAAAATTACACTACCTACGCTCCGCTCCGCCCCCGCCTTCCGCAGCCGCTCGCTTCCGAACTCAGTTTTTACTGGTACCCGCTCTACAACGGCTCCGCTCCGGTGCGGAGACCTGAGGTGCGCAAACAAGCATGCGCGGGATTTTCGAGATCTTGCGATACAGTCCGAGCAATAAACGCGGAAGTTAGATCCAAACACCCGTTGTGTGGGAGAAGCATTGAAATGAACTGTTAAGAGCTCGCCCCGTAATCGGAAGGTTGCAGGTTCGAGCCCCGCTCAGTCTGTCACTGCTGTTGTGCCCTTGGGCAAGACACTTAACCCACCTTGCCTGCTGGTGGTGGTCAGAGGGACCGGTGGCGCCAGTGCTCGGCAGCCTTGCCTCTTTCAGTGCGCCCCAGGGCAGCTGTGGCTACATCGTAGCTCATCACCATCAGTGTGTGAATGTGTGTGTGATTGGGTGAATGACTGGTTGTGTTGTAAAGCGTCTTGGGGGGTTCCAGGACTCTAGAACGTGCTATATCAAAGACAGGCCATTTACCATTTGAGAGATCAGCAGTGTTTGGATCAACAAAGTGTGACTACTTTGATAGTGGAAACTGTATTCATGGCTTACTTTTGTGCATTTAAAGTTCAGCCGCCATTGATAGTTGTTAAAAGTTGTTAAACCTGTGCATATGAAACAAAAAAACGCTTTTTGTTTATCGATTTATTATGAAATAACGGAAGCTGTGCTCGCTCCCTTTCCTGTTGGGCGGTTGTGATTTCTGTCCATTGACTGCGGAGGCGCTCCGGCGTCCGGCAAAAAAGAGAATCGATCCTATTTTTGCCGGATGGAGGAACGGCGGGTGGCGCCACACGGCTGCAGTAGTGGAACAGCTCTGATCGACTACAATGGGACCGATTTTGCTGCGGAGTTCGTGCCGGAGTGGAGCGGAGGTAGTGGAATTTTGGGGTTAGGGTCCTGAAATGTAGATATCTCTCCTCTGATTGGCTAACAGCAACATGACTCTACCACTGACTATGTGCTCTGCACCATTGATATTTTATATTTACAAGTCTGGAGGGGTTCTGCTGTGAGGCAGAGCTGCTAATGCTAATGGCTAGCTTCTGCTAATAATAAAAATGACTTCATTTACATTTGAACAAACATGAACATGTACTGATGAAACTTACAAAACGGCTTTTGTTTGAGCCTCTGAATGATCTCAGTTCAGTTTCTGTTGAAACAAAACAACAAACTTAAAGCTGCAGCGGAAAATGAGCTGAAACAGTTATTCTATGCCTCTTAACAACGTTCTAACATCATAGAGCTACAATTAGATCGTAGAGATGAAAAAGCTAAATGAAAAAATATTTTCTTTATCTGCACAATAGAAAAAATATGATCCAACAAACAGTATAAAATCATGAGGATCACAGCGCTGGAGGAGGCAAAAGCCAGGGAGGCTTATCTAGAACCTCCACCAACAACACACTTCAGACCCAAACCGGACTAACAGACCTTCCGGTTATCCGTCTCACCGAACCGCTGCACACCCCTGGGTCCTCCACTCATCACACACGTATTCAGCACCAGAACACCGCTGGTGAGAAGTTCTCTGCTCATTAACATCAGAG